CTCTCTCTCTCTCTCTCTCTCTCTCTCTCTCTCTCTCTCTCTCTCTCTCTCTCTCTCTCTCTCTCTCCCCCCCTCTGGTCCATCTCTGCTGTATGATTTGCAGGTATATTTCACCACATGGTTCCCTCAGTGTCCTCTCATCAGTTTGGGGCAACACTGCCCACCTCTGGAGGCCTCAGCTCTCTGCTCAGTCTCTCCTCCTCCTCCTCCTCCTCCTCTTCCTCCTCCCAAACCCAGGCAGCCTCCACACGTCTGACCTCTGTCACCTCACCCCTCCCTCTCTCCCAGGCCCAGCACAGCCGCACACAGTCGGTTCTTCACAGCCCCTCTCACCCTACACACTCCCTGCCCCCTCCGCCACCTTTGCACAGCGTCTCCTCTTCCTCCTCTGCTTCCACGGCACCAACGCACCCCGACACTCCGGCCTCTACTCGATCCGAGCCCCCCGCCCCCCCGCGTCCGTCCCAGTCCTCCCTGCACCACCAGAGGGTCCAGTTATGCCTCACTCTGTCCATCTCCTCTTCCTCCACCTCTGCAGCTTCTGTCTCTACCACCGYTGCTGCTTCTGCCTCCCACTCCTCCTCCTCCTCCTCTCTGTCATCCTCCTCTTCCTCCTCATCGCGTCCATTCACAGTGCACTACTCCCCCCGGCTGCCCCCTCCACCTCCAGCCAACAGCTCGGGTGGTGGTGGGAGCATGTGGAGGACTCAGAGCATGCATGGGTCCTACAGCAACTCCCAGCTCCCCGGCTCCCGACCTAGATAGGATGTGGGTGTAAGGGGGAGGGAGGGTGGAGAGGGGGAGGGCAGAGGGCAATCAGAGGGTGGATAGATGGCGATAGGGATTGAGAGACAGGATACCTGTATTTCCTGTGTTTCTACCAGCTGCTGTTCTGATTAAACAAGGTAAGAAGACTGAAAATGGATCTTTTTTTGTTTTTTGTCTTTTAATCATTGCTGGGTTTTACCTTTCTTTGCCTGTTTTTATGTTTAACCTGTAAAATCACTGACTGTTTGTTTCTTTTCTGTGTGTGTGTTTCATTTATTTTTCAGGTAATTGATGAAATCTACCTCAAAATTCAATAAACTATGCAAATGTCCAGGTGTGGACCAAGGCACTCTTCTCACTCACTGGTGCTTCATCCTGTCTGCACTACCCAACCGCCTCCAAGACCGGCTCCTGTACTGGGCTGTATAAAACACACACACACACACACACACACACAATCTTTCTAGTTCTAGAGCAGAATTTATTGTTGCTGCTCGTGTTTTTGTGTGGTGTAAATTAATTGAGTATAAGTCTGTAAATCAGCTCTGAAAGAATAGAAACATGATGTCGGATTAACTTTAAGGTGCTCTAACATGTTCATTCAGTCAGAATCATAACGACCACCGTTCAGCAAACACAAACATGCATCATTCAACAGACTGAAAGACCTTTCTGAGCTGGATCAGGCGTCACGCTTCTTCCAAAGTTTAACTTGTGTGTTTGTGCGTGTTAGCGTGACCCACGACACGGAGGCAGCTCAGCGAGCAGACGTCGTGCAGCTTCGCCTTCACGCATGCCCTCCCCGTTTTCTTCATCATATTTCTGCATAAAGCAAATTGAGGAACTTTAAAGTTCACACTGGATGCTGAGGTGCAGTTACGCAGAGGATATTGGCTGGTTAGTTGACACCCCTTGTTTTCATGATTCCTCAAAGAAAACCATAATCCTTAAATAAGAATAAATAATCAAAAACATCTTCAAAAGGATTTTGAAGTCTCAGTTCAAACATATTTGCGTGCAGTGGTGGGCACCGGTCCACTAATTCGCTAATAGC